TTTTCTTTGAAGATTTGATGTTTGATCTTTTGCCCTTTCTACTTTCCCTGCTCTTTCAGGTTGTTTGGAAAATGGTGTTTAAGTTGTTGCTTCACCCACATGAATGGTTGCGAACTATAACCTGCCGGCTGCTGAATTATTATTTTAAGGAATTAGGTGCGAGGAAAAGAGGAAAATCTCAGAATTTAGTAGCTGATTCTCTTCTCGAGAAGCCAAGTAGCCTTTTCATGGTAGCTGCTTCTCTTTGCTTCCAGCTCAAGGTGCACCGCAGCACAGGCAACATAAACGATGATACCACTGGAGAAGATATTGTTACCAAAAATATTGTTTTTGCGGTCTCCAGTCTTCATTCTATGATTGGACAATCAGAGCATGAGTACTGGTCCAGTCTTGACAAGGATGAGCAAGTGAAGTTCCTTAAAGCCTTTGTAGTATTTGATGCAGGGAATGTAAGGTCTACTTTCCTGGCTCTTACTTCAGGCAACCTAAGCGAGAATGGCAAAGATGATGTGAGAAATGTATTGATTGGAAGTCTGCTGAAAAGAATGGGGAAGCTTGCTCTTGATATGGGGTCTCTTCAGATGAGAATTGTGTTCAACGTCTTTAAAGAATTTTGCTCACAGTTGGATCTAGAAGAGTGTCGCCTATAGGCCTTCAGAATTCTGCTTCCGTTGTACAAAGTTTGCCAAGGATTTACCGGAAAAGTCATTTCAGTTGAGTTGAAAGAGCTAGCAGAAGGGGTAAGAGACAGTATAAGAGACAAGAGCATAGGCAGCCATATGTTTGTGCAAGTTTACAGAGATATCATAAACAGTTTGGAAACGAAAAGAAAGAAGAGGAAGCGAGAGGAGAAGCTAATGGCGGTGATAAACCCTGAGAGAAACGCAAAGAGGAAACTTAAGCTAGCTGCAAAGAACAAGGCTAACAAAAAAAGAAAGATTATGAGCAATAAAATGAGCAGATGGGCACGCTCTTGAGCTAACATGATCACTTTGAAGTCATTATATTTTTGTTTAGGCTTACAAAAAAGTTATATGAGTTTATCATTAATCTTTCAAACAAATTTTAAAATTTTGGTAGATTATCAACTCGTAGTGTTACACTGCCTCGTAAGTTTTATCATACTAGGGCAACTCTTTTGCCTGTAAAAGTAAGAAAGTCTATATAATGGGATTCTGAGCTTTTGCATGAAGAAGATGGCGTTGGAGTCAATAGTAGGAAATCTCTTGTGCTTTCTGCTGGTAGGTTAAACTTTCATGTAAAATAAATGGAACTTGATCATGTAGTTGTGATACTGCTTCATACTTTTTTTTAGCGTGGTTGGAATAGTGGTTGTCATGTTGATCTGGATGCACGGGAATCTGAATCAGTCTTGAGCACAAACATGCTACATGAATAAGAATGGCCAAGAAACAATTGAAGCACAGAACAGCGTATCATGTTTGGCAATTGGCATGCAATGCGAACTGAGTTGGAGGAAAGCAGAGAGAATGTCCTTGGTAGCTCGTTCCAAATCAAATGGCACTACTGTGTCTGTGACAATGGAAAAAAGTTAAGAGATGTAGAAGCAAAACCATCAGTATAGTGGAAACTTAATGAATCCGCAAATAGACGAGTCACAAACCTCTGATACATATTGAAAATGCTTAGCTTCCGAGTGATAATAACAGCGTTTCCAAAGTTGGCAACTCAGTAAATTATCTCTTAAGAATCCATGCTAGAGGGAACCAATGCATCTCCATTATACGATTCAACAAAAAGGGTCAGAACAATTAGCCCCTCCTCCTCAACTACAACTAAAATCGAGTTAATTTAGTATTTGTTCGCTCCCGGAAGATTCATTTGCGCAAAGACTTCATCCGTCTAGGTTAAACCTGGTTTACAATAATAATTTGAAGAAAACACATTAGCAACTGAAAATCAAATCGATTTATAAGATATTGTACATCATTCATTGTATCACTAAATAAAACATTGTTAAATTGTGAAAACAACAAAGTTTGTTCACTCTCTTTTTCTTCTTAGAGTTTTGTTCTTAATACTCATAACCTTTCTCACAAACTTATTTAAAATTACACACAAAAACAAAGATCATATTAGCAAATTCTCAATTTAAATTCCATAAAGAGTAATGCGTCAAGGATCTTTAAGACTTCATATGCCATAAACTATATCTATCGATTTAAATTTCATAGATTCGATTAACGATGTTAATTTCATATGCCATATTATTTATAAAAAAAAAATTATACTCTGTTTCATGATTAATTCAATAGAATTCTATTTATTCGAACACTTAAAATTATAATGTTATTATTATTTTTTTAAACGTCTGAGATTTTATTGTAACATCCAATGGATGTAAAGAGAGACAAAGTTCAAACACAGCTCCATAACAACATCTGCATTGGAGACATTTTGTAGGTGTCTTTAAATATAAAATTATTAAAAGTTGAGTAAAAGGAAGAAAGAGAGTGTTTTTGGTTGAAATAATGGGGTGTATTGAAATATAAAATTAATAAAATTTGAGTAAAGAGATGAGATAGTGGGTATTTTTGGAGAGAGAATGTCTCGTGGAAGACAAAGTTGGAGAGAGAATGGATGAAAGTTGGAGTGTGTTTAAATATAAAATTAATAAAAGTTGAGTAAAAAGATGAAAGAGAAGGTATAAAGTTGAGTAAAAGGAAGAGAGGGTGTGTTTTTAATATTTTTTTATTTAGAGACATCCACATTTTATATGCAATGTGGATGGTCTAAGGAGCATAGAAGAAAAGAAAGAAAAAAAATCACAACTCTAACACTAAGAGCTAAACGATATTACGTAGTATGATCTCTTGCGATGCAATCTTGGAACCAAGAAGGGCCACCCATTGCGAGATACAATTGGAACCGACCGTCTCGAGTAACACTTGTTGCGATCTCTCGAGCTACTCGATTAGCACCTTGGTCTTCGACTTCAAAAGCACAACCTTGTGACAAAAAGACAATCTGATGCAATAGCGGTCGATCCTCAAACAACAACACTGTCCGCGTTGGCATCCATAGCACTATTCTAGAGGTTGTCATCCAATACTGTGAACTGGCTTCTTGTGAGGATGATAACGAGAACGAGATTATGAAATGGGCTGTAGCATCCCTCGATGTGAAAAACAAGAGGTTATGTGAGTGAGATAATCGAAGTTTGTGTTTAGTTGCTCTCTGTTACCTGTATATTATTAGTAATATATAGATGTGAGGATAAGTTTCAGGTTCTTACTATTAGGAATCCGGCTTCATGATTCTGTTGTATTGTGTAGGCTGCTGAAAAGCTACAAGTCAAGGGGTTACTTGATTTGGCAGCTGAGATCATGGCCAGGAACATTGAGGGTAAAACAGTGGAAGAGATCCGTGATATGTTAGGCTTTGGGAATGACTTCTCATCAGAGGAAGAGTCAGATCCTGCCAAGAAGAAGAAATTAAGGAAGGCTCTGTTGGCAAACAAATTTCGCTACTCATCATCGGAGGAGGAATCCAGCGATGAGTAGTAGTAAAGAGATATAGGAGAATCGATCGAGGAGTACTAGTACAGAGATATGGGAGAATTGATGACTTGTTCATATCCTACTTAACTAGTAATATTTCAGTGACTATCATTTACTTATCTTCTTATTTTGGATTGTTATGTCTTTGTTTTGCTTCAGATGTTATTAGACACACGCCCGAATGACTCATTTCTGAACTTTGATGTTATGCAATGAGAATATGGTGATATAAAAAATCAAACTAAAATACTATGGAAAGTAAAACTTTAGAACCCCATAAGACTTCTTCGTTTTTGCTATCAGGACATTTGTTCACATTTTTGAAAAGTATCTAACTAATCCTCTACATTTTAAAAACGTATTCCGGATTATATTATGGGTTCTGACCCATACACAAAAATATATTCACTAGGGAAAAAGGAAATATCTTATTAAATAATATGTTTCACCAGCCCAGAAGGAGGAAGACTATGTGCATGATTGGTTCGGCTTTAAGTGTTGTCTACAGTCTTAATTTTTTTAAAACATCATTATGTTACTAATCATGTTGTAACTTTAATTCTTTAAGCTTCAAACCTACACTTTTTTTTACCAATCATGTTTTTGCTTTAATTCTCTAAGCTACAACCTCTTTAATTTTTTTTTTAAGTTTTTTTGGTGTAACATGTAAAATCTTAGAGCCCTATTTTTATGGCTGTACAAACTCTTTTTTAAAAAAAAAATCACGTTATACACTTTATTATGATTATTTAGTTAAAATTTCATAAAAACAAAGTTTTGAGTGAAAAAATATATATGAAAAAATTTTAAAACAAGATTGTGACGAATCTGTGGAGAAGATAAAATCAAAAGTATTATAAATTATTCTATCAATCACTAAAATATTTTTATATTTTAAACACATTTACCGAAATAATTTAATTTTAAAATGATATTTTAATTTTTGTTTAATTATCCATTTTAAAATAATTTTGAGGTTCATTTTTATTGCATTGAAAATTACATAAAGTTTCTATAAACTCGATTATTTGTATAATTAGTACAAAACATTTTATTTTCATAAAATTATCTTATTGCTAAACAAAAAAAATATTACACCGTTCTTTAAATTAAAACCCAGTTGCGTCTGCTTTAAAAAAAAAAAAAAAACTTGGGCCGTTAGAATTAAAAAAAAAGCCCAATAATGACGCAGAAAGGGTTAGTCTCCACGTACTGAGTAGGTTTTTATCTACAGTTTAAACGAGCAAAGTCATAAATAAGGGCCCATATATCACATGCTAAACCGGTTTGGTTACATTCTATCCCACGCGCCACGTAACCGGAACGTTCCGTTCACGCGACATGCCAAAATGAGCCGTGGGGTCCAACAGAGATATATCCTCTTTTGTATCTGTCTCCAGCGTGTCCTCTTGGTGAAGCTCCACGTCACCTTTTGGTCCACCGGATTATTTAAAAATAAATACGAGTATCTAGATAATTATGTGTACATTAGTTTCAGCTTTAAATTCCAATTTTAATTTTTTAGATAATTATTAACTAAAATAAATCATTTATACAATATTTTACCAGTCAAGTATTTCGATTTTTTTATTCATTTAAAATCGTTTTTGATTTAGTTTTGTTATTTACTGTATCAGCGAGAAAAAATGACAATATTTCTACTGAGATTAAGTGAACCACTTTACATGTCGGTAGTGAGGGTATTAATCACATGTATCGCATCCAATGTGTAAAACAGCTTTTCAGCCGTACGATCACATGGGTACATAAATCAACGGCTTAAATAAAAAAACTCTCACGCATATTAAACGCGGAGAGTACGCTACACCGGTATAATAAGCTAACATAGGATATAAAAACTCAGATTTTATCCAAAAAAATTATTTTGTTTTCATTTTCTATATTTTGTAAAGGAAAACAGAAATCATTTTCTTTCTTCTTTGGCTGAGAGACAATGGCGGAGGAGCAGAAAACGAGTAAGGTTGACGTAGAATCTCCGGCGGTTTTAGCTCCGGCTCCGACGAAGACGGAACCGACTCCTGCTCCGACGACGACGGAACCGACTCCTGCTCCGGTTGAAGTTTCTAAAGACGTTTCGGAGGAGAAAATTCATGATCA